GTAGTCGTACTAGTCAGTAATGGCCTCAGACATCGCTCATCTTGAACGCGTAAAAAATTTGGTCGATTCATTCATAGTAATCCCACGTAGGAACCTTGGTGGACTGTGCAGGACCACTGACCGCTCTACCATCATAAGTAGGGCCTGACCTAGCCATTGGTACCACCACTCGGTGCACTTTAGCTCGCCCAGCTTTTTCTTTTGAGCAAGCTTTTCGCTCAGTCCTTCCTTGCAACCATCGCCGGGGATGGCAGGAGCCTAGGTTAGTAGTTACTATCTGAACGTTGAGGGTTTTCCTAAAATCCTGTATGCCACCCTGCAAAAGCTCGGAGTCAAAGATTGTCCCAAGTATGAGGGCCGTGAGTTTGGAAAGCATGGCACTGAGCGGTGTGAAGTTACCGTCTACATTGGTAAGAGTGAAGAGTTCCTCGACATCACTGAAGCCTGGAACATGACCGCAACTGGGTTTTGCTTCGTCGACACCTACCAGGTGGTGGCCCGCAAAGCCTTGCGGTACCTTTGCTAGATATATGAAGATTCCATTGCTCGTACCCCCATGAGGTTCTTCCTACCTTTGGAAAAGAATCGACGGGCATAGAGGGCTCGCATGGAGGCTTTGCAAGGGTGGGATGCGCAAGAAGACAATCCAACTGTGGTACACTTGACCACATAGCTGCTTGCTCTAGATGAGCAGTATGACCGGCAAGCCTTGGAGCTGAGGAAGTGCCTCCGGCGAGCCGAGGAAGCTGAGATCTTCTCCAGGATACTCCAGGTGCAGCTTGCCGAAGCGCATGCCAGTGCGACAGCCGCTGAGAGTCGGGAGACTGCCATGTCGGAAGCTCTAAAGGAGGCCAAAGATCGGCATGCCCATTAGTTGGGGGAGGCCTACCTTGTCACCAGAGCCAAGCGGAGGACGCTGGCTGCTGAACGGTAGGATCCCTTGATCGTGGAGGGAATCCCTGTCCATCCACCGAAAAGAAGGAGGACCGGTATTGCAGTACCGCTAGCACCTCCACCTTCAGAAGTGTCAGAAGTAGAGCCCTTGCTTTCCCTCACTCAGCCACTGCCCAAAGAGGAGGCAGATCCGTAGCCAGGGCGGTAGAAGAATCCGCTGAGCCCGGGAATGAAGATGCGTGGTCCAAAGTAGGTTAGTTGCCTTGGGAAGATGTACCCGTAGTTAGTAGTGTTTTTCGTCGCTGTCCTCCAGTATTGTAATCTTCCGTTGTATTTCGTCCGTAGTTGTTGAGGTAGTCCGATCGTAGGAAAGGTGAACGATGTGTCGAGAATGGGAGAGTAAGTGCCTGTATGTTGTACCAGCATGAGGACGTTCGGAATATGCATTTTATTTATTTCACTGTGTTATTGCGTTTATCTACCTTAAGTCTCGTTAGACATACTTAGGGTTTTCAAGGACAATGTTAAGTGGGTTACAAGAGAAATTACCACGCAGATGCCAGCAGACCAGCCGTGATTGGAGAACATAGGACATTATATCAACTAATTGTGGATGTCCCAGCAGAACACTTGAATCTCTTTAAATCGAATCCGTCGTTGGATTTAAATTTCTGGTCCCTTGTTGCGAAAGGAACCTTTGTTGTTTGAATCTTCCCTTGCAATACTCCTCTGAATCTGTGGTCTATGACCCACCGCCTTCATTGTGTATAAGTTAGTAGTGGTTGCCTAGTTAATAGCTTATGGTGCCGCGACAAAACCGAGGGCCTCTGTGGAACAGCTGCCACATGGTGACGTTGCTCGACATGCGCTGGTATCGAGGTTATTGACCAAGTACCTTTACCAAGTTACACTACCATACTGTCTTTGATACAAAATATTTCTTGGAAATATTTGGGTGTTCGAACGAAAAATCTACAATGGGTTGATGAAATAGTGTTCCCTCAAGTACACAAGAGAATGTGGTTTTAGAGGAAGAACGTATGACATGATCTTAGTCTATATGAAAGACGGATGTGGTCAAGGAAGGAAAAGAAAAAGAAGAGTGGCAAGGAAAAAGTTAGCCTCGGGTATAGGGAGTGCTTGGAAAAGTTTGAGTGGACGTCATGTCCCCAAGCCCTGTGTCCAGCTAGACCATGCTGCGCAAGCCGGGTCATTTCGCTGCGTGCCCTGCGGACGTCATCTGTGTCAGGACCTTTAGCACTCTGTTCTCACGTAGCCGCAACATTGTGCCGCGCTAGCCGTCCTCGTGTACTGTGCGCTTCCCCTTTTTCTCGGTATCTGTCGGGTCTCGAGCCTCGCTCTCGTCCCCGTACCGGACCCCATTCCCCTCTCCTTTTCTTCTCTTGGGGACACGGTCATCGCACGCCTTTCTCATCGAGCGAACCCCTCTCCTCTCCTCTCCTTATCCTCCCTCTGTTGCTCGTGCTGGGAGCGCACCATGGCCGACTTTATCCCCACAGCGTGAAACGTCAGTGTATCCCATCCACGCCGTCTCCACTTTCGGTGCACTGTGCCCCACCTCCGTTCACCACTATAAGATACCCTTGGTCCTTTGCTCTCTTCTTCATCCCCATCCACTCGAATCCGAAGCTGAGCTACGAGATCCAGTCGTCATTCGTGGCACTAGGTCGTTAGTAAGAGGTGATGGTGTAATCTGAAAAGAAGAAAGGATCTAGTTTATGTCGAAGAAGTGCAGGTCCACCTTCGGTTAGTTGGTCTTAGGGTTCACGATGTTTGAGTTCTCAGTCTCCTGTTTCTGGATCTGTTGGACATACGTCATGGTTTGGATAATCATTTTTTTGTTGTTTCTCCATTGCCCTCGTCTATCCCGACTTCTGGATTAAGCCTTGGTTGTACTAGGTTGCTCTTAACCAGGTATCCCTAAATCCCGGTGTAGTTTAGCGTTCGACGTCGTGTAATCTTTCGTGTAATTTTAGATCTACGAAGTGTAATCGTATTTCTCTCCTTCTGATTCGTGTTTCAAATCTCAGGACGAGATTTTGTTTAAGAGGTAGAGCTGTAACACCCTCGGTGTTGCCGCTTAAACAACTTGCTAAGCTATGTCATGAGCCTCCTGTTTATGTGTCAGTGCATGTAATAAAGAGTGTAGATCAATTTCTGTAACTCAAAACGATCAACGGGAGTGCGAAACGAAAGTTAATTTAAGTCATGATGTATCACTTAGGGTTTAAAACTAATTTTTATTAAGCAAAAATGCTATAGAGCATGTATGTGATACTTAAATAAAGTTTGAAGTACAAACTTTGTAGATGACAATGAAATAACTGCGGTTAAAAAATGATATTACTAGCTAAGATTTCCAATAGCATAGAAATGCAATTTGAAATAGAGTTCAACTCAAAACTCAGAAAAATTTCGAAGTTTGTTGATAGTTAGACACTGCTATGTTTGGCAATTTATTGTGTGAGAGTGGGTTAAGCAGCCGGGTAGTATTATGGCTTGTTTTTGTAGTCTAATATACCCTCTTTGGTATAGCAAAAGTGGTTTGGTGATTGGATCAACGGTTTAGTCGTGGTCGATGCTTTAAAATTCGTGCACAACATTTGCTTCGGTTGCCTCGCCGTGTGTGCGCGGTCACCATCGCACGGTGCCTCGGTGTCGCTGGGCTCAGGTGCACGTGGTCGACTGCGACTGCCCCGTCCTGGCCGGCCACCGCTGGCCGTCTGGCCTTGTCATGCGGTGCCACCGCGCCCGTCGCTCACCTGCCTCGTCGTCGTCCCGTGCGGTCAGCCGTGCCGCGCTGCTGGCACTGCAGTCGCGTCACCCGGGCTTGGCCGAGGCCGGCGCCGCGCGGAACCCTGCTGCTGCTGTCAACACCATACTTTGGCTTGTCGCTGAGTTGACAATATGCTAGCTGCTCGCAGAGTCGCTTGCAGGCCAGACTTGGCAGAGTCAGAGGCACAATGACAAGCAAGAACCGGTCCGCTGGGCATGGACTTTTGACACAAAATCACAAAATAAACAAACAAAAATCGTGGCTCGATCTTTTCTTGCTGCTTGTACTCGTAAATAAATGATTAGTAACACCGAGCTAGTTGACATGCTGCTCGCGCAGGCGTTGCATGAATATGGTCGTCGGTCGACGACGTTGCTATCAACTTCTGGACTGACCGGGCTTGCAATTGCACTGCATGGTCGAATGAGCTTCATTTTCGGCACGGTCCATTTGCACGGGCTCCAATTAATATAATATGCTTAATAATTTGCTCCCGACGTCCCGACCTGAACTCTTCCAGGTTCGTCGTCAATGGTACTGCTCCTCCGTAGAAACTACTCCCTCCGTCCGTTAAGAAGGCGGGATTGTGAGAGGCGGCGACGGTTTTCAACCACAAACCCAAATGGGACGGAGGGACTAGAAAGCAGGGAACGGATACTCTTGTTACCACCCAAACCGTACGTGATGCACTGATGCCCACGTACGTACGGAAGGTCGGAAGCGTACGTTCAGAACTAGTAAAAGTTTCCGCTCTGTTTGGTTTGATGAGAAACTTCCTCTAATTATTAAACGCCCCCTCAAACGGGGAAACCCATTATTACGCACCGCAAAAACGTCTGTTTAGTTTCAGTGGTACACACAAAGATATATATTTCCGTGGTACAAAGGCTAGAAAAGCTGTACGACGTGAGGACCTTACACCATGGCGTAGGCGCGTAGCGGCCTCAATGCAAAGCCCATTGGCTCATCCTCATCATGATGTCTCAACTGTGCGATAAGGACTGACGACTGCGGCAGGTGCTTTCGTATGGGCCGGACAAGAAGTTCAATTACCAAAGCCTGCTTATAAAACGGCTGTATCCGAGCAAGCGTCGTGTGGAGCTCAGCCATTCGCACGACGGTATCCGAGCAGGTGGTTGGTTCAGCGATCAGCTCAGTGCCCAGCCCAGTAGGCAGACACAATCACACAACGGCTGTTTCGGTATCGCAGTAGCTAAGCTAGCTTGTAGCTAGTATCTCAGTGTTCCCAGCAGTCTGCTGCTGCCTCGAGCTCTCGTCGCGGAGTGTCCAGTCTCGAGTCCAGCGGAGTATGGAGAGCAGCTTGCTCGACACCGCCGCGGCTGCCGGTCTTTGCCCGGCGGCGGCCGCGCGCCGCCGCGCCGGGAGCACGGCGAGCTTCCTCAGCTGCTCCTGCTCCTGCTCCTCCAGAGGTACGTGCATCGTTTCGACACCGCAGTTTGTTTCCGGATTGGTCTCTGGCTTCAGCTTCAGTGCTTCACCAATCGTTCTTGGCTCGATCTCCCTCCAGACTGCAGGGTGAGCGCGTCGTACTACCACTCCATCAGCCGGATGCTGAGCGGGGTGTGGTCGGCGGCGCGCAAGAAGCTCTTCCGGACCGACCCGGCGGCCGACCTGCTGGGCATCGCCAACTGGTCGGATGAGACGAGCGGCGGCGACGGGGGCCACCAGCAGCAGCAGCACTGGTGGACGGCGCTGGAGAACAACTTCGTGCTGGAGGCCACCGACGACGAGTACGGCGGGGTCGTCGTCGACGCCGACAGGCTGCCCGACGACAAGGCCGCCTTCGCGCGCTCGCTCGCGGCCTCGCTCTCTTACTGGAAGTCCGTGGTACGTACGTCTCGGCCCCATTTCTGATCTCTCTCTCGTCCATCCAATCGATCAAGAAACCTTCGGAAGGTTTCAGCGTTCAGTGCTGAAGGAAGGCAGCAGTGTCATTTTGCTGATTTGCTACGGTGTTTACGGTGCTTCAGGGGAAGAAAGGGGTGTGGTTGAAATTACCGGTGGATCGAGCCGAGTTCGTCCCTTTAGCAGTGAAGGTACAAATCTGGTCTTCAGAATCTCAGTCCCAGTAATGAGTTCTGCAATTCTTTCCGACATGTGCAACGGAGACTCCGAACCAATAGAATAGAATCCAACTTTTTTTTTCTTTACACAGTAAAATTCAGAGTTTTTCTGTCTGAAACTGTGTCTGCAGGAAGGTTTCAAGTACCACCACGCGGAGGAAGCCTACCTGATGATGACGTACTGGATCCCCGATGAACCGAATATGCTCCCAGCAAATGCTTCTCATCAGGTTGGAGTTGGGGGTTTTGTGATCAATGACCAAATGGAGGTGAGTGGGACCCATGTATATACATGCTTCTGTTTCGATGGGAAAAGACAGACAGCTGAAAAAAAAGCTAGCTTTTGTGTTTCTGAACTCTGATGGCATTCTCTTGAACAATTTCATCAGGTCCTAGTGGTGCAAGAGAAGTATCGCGGTTCGTCGCTGGATGGCTTGTGGAAACTCCCCACAGGCTTCATTCTTGCGGTAAGAATACATGCCCAAGGTCGTCAGCGATTGGTGGGTTCGTCGCTGGATGGCTTGTGGAAACTCCCCACAGGCTTCATTCTTGCGGTAAGAATACATGCCCAAGGTCGTCAGCGATTGGTGTGTGTACAGTTTTTTGTCACTGAAATCTTGTTCTGTCGCAGTCAGAGGAAATCTATACGGGAGCCAGCAGAGAGGTGAAAGAGGAAACCGGGGTAAGAAAATGGAACTCGCTGGAAGAGTACTAGAACCCAGTAGATTCTTTCCAATCCATCTTCCTCCTCGTAGGGATCGATTCTCACAAGTGCTGTGATTGCGATACCTTATGCAGGTCGACACCGAATTCGTTGATGTCGTTGCTTTCAGGTAGTTAAGTTACCTTCTTTGTTTCGGTGATTATCCCGATAGTTGTATCTTAGTATCCTCGAACTGTAGGCTGAATTTGTCCTACGTATGGTTTGTTGCCAGGCATGCCCACAACGTGGCGTTCCAGAAGTCCGACCTTTTCTTCATCTGCATGCTGAGGCCTGCGTCGAGTGAGATCAAGATTGACGAGACAGAGATTCAGGCAGCAAAGGTGCGTCGTCATCTTTCTTCAAAGGGGATTTTTATGTTTCCTGAAACGAGCCTGCAAACTGAAAAGAAAAACATTTCAGACTCCATTTCACGATATTCAGAGCATGAAGTTCGAGACATCAATCAAGCTTACTAAGTTACTAACCCACGAGACATTTGTTTCAGTGGATGGCGCTGGAGGAGTTCGTGAAGCAGCCCTTCATCCAGGAAGACCACATGTTCCAGAAGATCATGGACATTTGCATCCAGCGCCTCCGCAAGTGCTACTGTGGCCTGACGCCGCACCACCTCGTTTCCAAGTTCGACGACAGAACGTCCACGCTCTACTACAATGTCGCCGAGCCTGAGGACATCAAGTGCGCCGCTGCCTGATACATATATGATGGGACATTGGGAGGGATAGCCACCCAAGCATCTAGTTCAGCTTTTGCTGCGCAAAGTTTCATGATGCAGAAGTTGCGATTGCTGAGAGTGAAATACTAGTAACAGATTGCGCAAGGCAACAGTACTGTTGCCGAGCCTGTAGAGCATAACTAGAGAGAGCTGTATATCGGTAGCTCTGTCGCGTGTTCTGATAAACGATGGAGCCATTTGATCTGTTGCGACTTGCGAAACGAATTCTGCATCTAATCAAACGCAGCACTCGCACAACCTTCTGTCCTCCTCTGGCCATCCTCGCCGCTAGAGGCACTAGAGCCGAACATCACCATGCTAACAAGTTTTGCTTGTTTTGGTAAAACCGATTATGTGGCATCACGATTCACGACTATACCTATTTAATACAACAAAAGAACACTCACGAAAGACTCCATCCATCCAAGCGATTTCTAGACAAAATAAGAATCTTGGCAAATACTACCTTGCCCCTCAGTAATTAGGATGGACTGATGGAAGGAGTAGTTCAGTAATTATTTTCTTTAGTTACTGGTTGGCTGTCTCTTTTGGATGACACCAAGTCTAAAAGTGATCTCAATATTTTCTAAAGAATAGACAAAGGAGAGATAGAGGAGGTTGAGAAACTATAATATCATGTATTTTGATATACACTACGTCCCTTATATTTTAGGACAGAGGGAGTGTAGCCGAAAACGTAAACTTAACATAATGCTAATTTCAGTTACAGTTTATCAATGATACTATTAACTTGGACAAAAATACCACGGAACGATACCACAGAGCACTCAACAATAGACCACAGCAAGCGATGTAGGGGCGCCAAAGCTAGATGTCATGGCATCAACGGAGGTGATGGGGTTGGATTTAATTTTTCTAACCCGACATTCCGATTCTGGACCAAATTTCTAATGCGTGTCATTAAATCGTCTAGATTGTACATAATTTTTATAGACTTTACAGGTTCCTAAAATTTCAACCTAACCGAAATTTTTGAGAATTGTCTATCTAACACAATAACAACTAGTTTTGGAAGGTTGGGTATTTATACACCCACATGCTCTTCTCTTGCTGGTGCTCTTCCACCATCGAAAAACGCATTTGTAGAGGCCAAAGAAACTCTTCCCACTTCCTCTTACTGAGAATTGATTTATTCTTGTGAGATATAGATAGATGGGTTGAAAGATTGGGTGATTGATAGTAAGAGAAAGCATTCTGTAACACCCCAAGTGTTTATCACCAGTTAAGCAATGGGTTTGAGCTCAAACATAACATGTTAAAGTGATGATGAAGATGTCAAGATCAAATCTACAAGAGTGAGCTCCAACTTAAACTTGGACAATACACCCTTAATTACATGTGGACCCTTGTTACGATTATGCAAGCGTAATGTTAAAGATGCTTATTTCATGTACATTACATCAACATGCATCCATCTTGACCAGTGGAAAAGTTTCATGAAGTTTGGAATCAAGAAGTCACATAAAATGATAAGTTATAATCTTTCTTGGATTGCTTTATTAAGTGAATGGAATTATAGGTCATCAACCAAACCTTGCTACCTTACCTAAATGACTCTAATTAAACTCTACAACAAAAGTCATGAAGGGTTCGTGTTGAGCAGAAGTCAAGAAAATGCCTCAATTGGTCTAAAACTCTAATTTAAGCTTTATCGTGATGCTATTTTGACTGGTGTTGACCAATCGCTTATAGTGCTTCCATGGAGTTGCACCTTAAATAAAAGTTGAAGATTGAGTGGAGTAGAACAAACTTTGTTTTTGGACCAAGAGCCAGATCAGCTTGAAACTAAGTCAAATAGAGGCTTGAAAATGGAATCAGCTGCTATCTTAGGCTCCCACAAATTTTTTCTAAGTCCCTGAAGTGACAGCAGTAAGTTAACTTCTTTGCGACATTTTATCGTCCAAATTTATGTGGTAGCTCAATTGGATTCCTTAAGATGAGTTGAAGTACTTTTCATGGTGAAAACAATAGATCAAGTCTCATCAAATTTGGAGTTCATTTGGATCTTTAAAAATAGTTTCCAAAACAGCAAAAGTTTACTTTATCACTTAACTAACATCGACATTGGCATTCCGCGTTCTCCAAATTTTGTTAAGCAACTCGATTTGGTCCAAAGATAAAAATTGGAGCCAATTTACTAAAGAAGAGCGTGCAAAAAGATGGCACCAGTTTGACTTTATTTTGACCGTCAATTTTGGAGTTTGTTAATCGCTATCAATGCATTGACAATGCCATCTTGGAGTGTAATTAACCACTAATCTACTACCCTAATGACCATGGTCCCTAAATGAAAATTGTAGAGCAGTCCGTGTAGATCAAACTTTATTTTGGGCCCAGTGTCTGAATCGGCCCGTATCCGGCCCAATTCGGCTCCCACCTTACCCACCTCGTTGCACGCCACGTGCTCGGTGAAAGGCCGACGCGTCGTCCATGCACGAGAGCGCCCCCCTCCATTGCCCCGCGCCGTCCCGTGCCTCTGCGTCCTCCTAGAGTGGGCACCGAGCCCCAGCGCACTCGCCCTCACTCCCTCTGCTGTCTCTCTACGCTCTCTCTCGCCCTCGGTGCCGCGCGCGCGCCAGAGCGCGGCCGCCATGGACGCCGCCGCCAAGCTCCGTGGCCACTGCCCCTCACTCGTCTTTCAAGCCCCCTCTGTCTTTCCCGTGCACCGCGGAGCCTTCGCCATCGTGATTTGCTCCTTCTCGCCTGAGTCAGCCAGCTGCTGCCGCCCTCGGGCCGCCACCGGCGTGCTGTGCCACCGTGGCCGCTCGCTCGTAGGTGGCCAACCACCTAGGGCCACCTCGGGCCAAGCCGAGCGGTCCCATGGATGCTCGTGGACCCGCTGGTGCTCGCGCCGCCCTTCTTCATCGCCGCCAGCCCTCCTCTGGCCGGATTCTGGCCTCCCCGCCGGCCCTCCCCTGCTCACTATCTGTAGGAAGAGAGGAGGGACCTTGCGCTCAAATAAGGGAAAAAGAGGGGCCTAAGTGCAGAAATCGTGACTCAATTGAATAGTGCATCCGACTGCGGGTTGATTCTGGAAAACTCAGGGGCCTCGATGCAATTGTGTTTTTCATTTATGCATTTAATTTGGCTGAAATTTTGGAAAATTATAGTAAATTGTAGAAAAATCCAAAAATAGCAAATGAGGATTTTTTGGAATCCTTGTGAAATTATATATGCATTAGATCTATAATATGGCATGATTTAGTTTAAAGTTTTTGCTGTAAAAATCAATTTATGCAGTTAGGTTTTTAATACTAGTTATGTCTTGTCTTTTTCATAACTGCAGTTGTTTTGCTCAAATAAATGTGAAATGTTTATGGTAAGCTACCGATGCTATGTGTATGCTGTGGTAAAAATTTCAGGAGTTTAAGCTTTATAGTTTAACAGCTATAAAAATAACAAATACCTTATGTTGCTTTGCTCCTATTCTGAATAGGCCTACCTGTTTGTATTAATTGTCTCAGTTAAGTTATAAATCATGTTTTGATGAAAATAAATGAGTTATAGTACTTTTCTTAATCTTTTCAAAAAGCTAAAAATAATAATTTTTGGTTAAGTAGATTTTTAGTTACAGTTGCCTAAATTTTTGTGGCTGTTTCTGCCCAAACCCAGACAGGGTTGCGTTGTTGGTACTGTGGGGCCCTTTTAATAGAAGAATTAACTTTAGGTGTTTATAATAAAGTTGTTTATACTTTTCTAAGCTTTCTAAAAAGTTTAGAACCATGTTTATTGGACATGTAGAACTCTAGTTATAGCTGTTTAAAGTGGCATGTCAGTTTCTGTCCATGTTTTGTATAGAGATGCATTTATTGGATTAATTAACCTTATTAACTATAGAATCATCTTAAGATGAGAATAATAAAGTTGTAGGTAACTTCATAATATTTTCAAAAAGTTATGAGTCATATTTGTTGGAGGTCTAGAACTCCAGTTATGCTTGTCTGAAGTTCTTATCAGTTTTCTGTACCACTGCTGTTTGGGCTGCATGTGTAGTTTTGTTTGTGCAATTATTTTCATGGTGTTAGTGATGTTTGCTGTGGTTGTAGTTAATACCAAAGTTGTAAATAATTTCATAATATTGCTTGTGTTCAAATTGCATGACCATAGGCCTGATAGTTTAGGAGTTATGAAATTGACAAATGATCTGTCATGTTTGGTCTATGCTTTGTGTAGATTTGAATGATTTCATTGTTTGACCTACTTAAGTATGAAATCATGTCTTAGTGATAATATAATAGTTATAGTGCTTTCCTTGAGATTTCTAAATTATCCTAGATCACCCCTTTTGGTGTTGTAGAGCTCCAGTTATAAGCTTGTAAAGTTGCATGGCAGAATCTGTCCAAGTCTGGAGAGAGGTGTTCAATTGTGCTTGATTGACCTTGTTAATTGTGGAATCACCTTATGATGATAAAAACATGTTTTAAATAATTTAATAAGATTTCTAGAAAGTTAAGGTTCATGCTTGTTTCATGTCAGATATTCCAGTTATGCCTTTTTGAAACTACTACTACTTTTCTGTCCTAGTTCTGTGCAGATCTAAAATATTGGCATGTTTGAATTGGTTAGTTTTGGAATAAGCTTTTGGTGATAATAACAATGTTGTAGGCAATTTCATTAGCTTTCCATAAAGTCTAGGGTCACCCTTGTTGGATGCTTATATATCTAGTTATTAAAATAAGTGGCTGTTGTGCTGCTGTCCAGATTTCTATACATGTGCTAGGTGATTGCTTTAGCTTGCTCTTGTTTTAGCTAAACATGTTGGTTAGTTCCGAGATGGGAGATACTTGCCAAGCGAGTGTCGTCTAACAAACACTAACCAAGTGTTGGATCCTAGGCAAGCCCCGGAGCATTCTAAGTCTCCTATATTTTTACAAATATCACTTGAGTTCTTTATGTTTGATGCATTAGGTTATAAGAGTTGATTGGAACCACTTGATGCATAGAACTACTTTATCCAG